CTGCTCTAGAGGGTCATTTTGAGTCAGAATTGATTCAGTGGCTGTGGGTTTAGGGTTTGGCTTTAAAGAATAAGTACACTATCTCTTCACTAACATCTATTAAAAATCAAAGTATACGCAAATAAATTTGCACCACCTCTTTTATTATTATTCAGGGGGAAAAAAACCAGTGTCTCTCGAGACTGTGAATGAGTCCCACAGCTACACATCACAGGCTTTTGTCTATCAGCCAGGACAGGATGGGGATAAACGGAGGGAGAGGGGTGCAAGGATGTAATGCACTAACTTGCCGTTTCTACAAAACCCTTAATTGTTTTCTGTAACACTTTAAGTCTATAGCAAGAGATATCTAAGTCACCTTCTACAGTAAAGTATTCAGAAGAAATCACCCATTGCTAAAAGGATGATAAATATAATTTAATTACATACATGCTAAATTAAAGAAAGACGTGTGGTGATTAATGTTATGTGTTAACTTGACAATGTTGTGAGGTCCTATATGGCTTGGCTGACCTTCATTTTGTGGTGTGATATAATACTTTTTCATTTTGTGTGTCTTAAATCCTAACCATTATACAATCAGCCTGCTATATCTACAATTTCTACATTTGTGAATTCAACTAGCCTGGATTGAAAATATTTAGGGGTGGGGAAACAATTAAGTGGCCAAAACCCTTACCAAAGACTAAGAGGGAACATAAAGCATTATCTACATAGCATTTATATTGTACTATGTACTATAAGTAATTTAGAAATGATTTAAAGTATATGGCAGCAGGTACCTAGGTTATATGCAAATACTATACCATTTAATATAAGGGGTTTGAGCATCCATGAATTTGGTATCAGTGGAGAATGGGGGTAGTCATAGAACCAATCCCTATAGATAACAAGGGAGACGGTCCGTTACAATGGAAGGATTAATGAGTCACAACCTTATAAGAGGGCACGACTGAAGTCCCCCCTTTATTGATGTCATGTTCTTACTATGATATGAGGGGTATTTCCTTCAGTCTGATTTGCATTCAATAGCATTTAATATATATAACATATATTTAAATATATCACATGTATTACATATATATACATGTGTGTACGTACACACACACACACACACACACACACACACATACACACACGTGCGCACATTCTGTCAAGGCCTTCCCTTGCATCGGATCCTGCATCAGACTCATCAAACCTCTGCTAGTAGCCTGCTGTCAGACCTGCCAATTCAGGCCTTTGCCAGCCTGCGCAGCACCGATTCATAGCCTGCCACCTGACCTGCTGATTTTGGGATTTACTGGCATCGGTACCCATGAGCTAACAGCCTGTCGTCTGACCTGCTGATTATGGATGTGTCAGTTTCTGCTACCACATGAATCAGGAGGAGACTGTAACCAGATATGTGACCCCAAAATTTTGGGAACTGATAGTTTCCTGAATGGCTTGAACCAATTCCTTAAAATCAGTCAATCTTCCCCCCCTCTCTATTTACACACACACACACACACACACACACACACACACACACACACACACACACACACCGATTTATCTATACAAAGACACACAAGGACAATGACAAACACGCTCACTCAACTCACCCCTCACATAGATACACACACACTCACTCAACTCACCCCTCACATAGATACTGGGTCTCTCTATAGCACCAGCTCAAGATACTAAATAATTCATGCATGGATTTTCTCCAAATTCTTGTTCTAGGCAAAAAAATTATATAGAGATATCCTAATAAAAGCTTTACCTTCCACATCTCATATGCTTGTATTCTGAAGAGAGTCAGCTTTATGGCTTTACAAGGTTACTTGTAAATTAACAGTACCAGCACTATGTCCATTGATTAGACTGAACTGAAGAAAAATATATCACCTATAAAAAGGTACTAAGTGGACATCTGTTTTACTGTTTATTGATCTGGTAACACAGCTGTTTATCTGACAGCCAAATGGGTAACATGATTTCACTCTAACAAGGAGCAAAGTAAACCCTTTAACAGTGAAATCAGAAGCCACTCAACACACAACTGATGCTCACCTGAGCCTGTGCGATACAAGGCTGTCTGCGATCCCTGGAGCTCCACGGTTCCATGATTTGGGCTGCGGTACACTGGGCTGTAATAGGTTCGCCCTTCATAGATAGGAGTGATGTGCAAGTCGGGAGACACAGTTGAACGAAGTTCTTGCCCAAGCTGGCTGTGCTGACTAGCATATGAACTCCGTAAGCCTAAAAGCAGGGGGGAAAAAAAGCCTTAATCAAAACCTTAATCAATGGTGCCAAATATCAAATCAAATCTAAACACCCAGATCAGAAATTTTACAACAGAGGGATGTCAGCCAGGTGTAAAAGTACGCACGTGCATGCACATGCAATCACATGCTTTAAAAAAACAAACAAAAACAAAACTATCTTTTGACAGCAAGAAAAAAGAAAGATTTCTAATAAACAATAAAAAGAAATAACTGAATGGTATATTATTCTGACTGCAAGCTATTTTATGGTGACCAAAAAAAGAAAATGTCCTCTTCTAAATTTTAAGTTTTCATATTTAAAGAATCATACATACAATGGTGCATGTCATTCTCTTCCCCTGTCTTGAGGAGTTGCCTGGCCTTACAAGCAATTGGTCAGTTCTAGGGGGTCAGAGCTTCCGATGTTTCATACCAGTTTAAATCCAACACTTACGTACTCAGTACCATCAAGCTGATTCTGACTCACAGTGATTCTAGGGCTTAATAAGAGTCAATGTCCAAGAAACAGGTCTATTAATTTAACTTTCATATGATCTTCATAGGAAACCATTGGGAATTTTATGTTACAAAACTTGGGATTTTAGAAATGACCTAATAGAATTTCTCAAGTGTTATTTTAGTATCTACTGCTATATTTCTACTTTTTTTTTTTTTTTAAAGCAAAGCAAAATTAAGATTTGCCTTCTGGATGGTACAGTCTTGTTTATTTTCTGGTATAAAGGAAAAGTGCAAAACTAGTGGACTAACATTCAATAATACATTTTGAGATTCAAATTGTTAAAATCTAAAAAGTTCGTGAGACTTATAATAAAAAAAAATAGATTTCAAACCTGAGTAGCTTAGTTTCTTTTTAAAGTGTGGCTCAACATATTCCGCATTATGCACTGTAGAATTGTGTTATTTGCCAACATTAGTAAATACAATCTGTCCCTTGGATAGAACACACCAACTAAAGTTACATCACAAAGAGAAACACCCCCCCAAAAGAAAACAAAACAAAACAAATTCTAAGGAGCCAGCCGCTTTAAAACAAAAAAGATATCACTTAACATATTATTATTATTTTTTAAAAAGAGAATAGCATTCTCATTCTGTAAGTTCAGGTAATCAAAATTAAAGCCAATGGATCTGAATGTGAATGATAATTATGTTGCTTAGTTAAGTATGGCAAGAAAGTTAATAAATACACAAAGTTAAGTGATGGACTATTTTCTATCCTAGACAATAATGTGAAATGAAGAAAATAAATGAACCAAGGTGGGTTTTATCTACAGGCTCTGCGTTTGTTAAAATAAAGTTGACACGTTACAATTTTATAACTGCGTAGCTATTGAGTTGAAGTATCTTGTTGCAAAAAGGAGATAAACTAGAACCCAGAAGGAAACGTGATTCGCCTCCATCAGAGGGCTATTTGCAGCAAGGAAACCACAGGGCAGGGCCAAGCCATTAGCAGCCGGGCCCCAGAGATAGCTTTCCCTCCAGGGTTAATCACATGGGCTATAAGAACTGCCTTTGAAACCAAACTGAGCTTAAGTCCAAAGAGGGAGGCCAAGTACACCAGGGACTTTGGGAGCCAATATAACTCCAAAGATGGTACCCTTGTTATTGCAATGCTCTTATTTGAGGATCTGTTTTTCACTCACAGCAGTTTTTGCATTCTGTTTAGTAGCGTTTAAGTTCTACTTATTTATAGAGCCCATAGGAATCTTGAACAAGCATGTCGATTATGTTTGTACATGCACAAGTCCTGGGTAATCTTGGCAATCCGAGTAGCTATTTGAGCCAAAGGTCCTCCTGGTTCTCCAAGGGGCTCTGTGGGATAGGGCACACCACAATTCCCAGGCCCTGCACACTGCTCCCACTGGAACGTTAAATGAGAGAGAACCAAGCAATCGGTACCATTTTCACAGGACTCTATCCTCACTGCAAACATCTGGATGATTCTTCACTGGGTACCCATGCAATATGAAGCTTTATTAAACACAATGTCGAAGCATCACTATTGTTTATGTTAGGGTCCTCCAGTTGTTTTTTTCACTTAAAGCAACCCCATGTGACAGAGCGGAGTTGCTCCATAGGATTTTTAGGCTGTACTCTTTATAGGCGCACAATATCAGTGCTTTCTTCCGGTGGCCCGCTAGGGGAGTCTGCATGGCCAACTTTTGGGTAAGTAGCCAAGAGTTTGACCATTGTTCCACTAAGTTCTCTTAAAGGATTAATAATGAAATACTTATTACATGCAGCTAACCATACTGGGAAGTAATGGCTTAGACTGCACTGTCATGTTGCATTTTCTTTGTATTAAAACTGTTCTGAAGAGTCCAACTTACTATTTTCACCATGTGTATTAAAACATACACAAAACACATAACCCCCAAATTAAGAATTTTAAAATTACATAGACTCTGTAGATTAAGTACAAATGATTATGTGCAGAGAGCTTACCTAAGTGTCATTTAAACTGGAAGCCCATAAGTATATTTTACAATTGGTAAACTAGAGATAATTTGGCTACAAATTTCTAAAGATATTACTTCCCAATTCCTTCTCCAAATAATGGAAAAAACCTGATGTTCCATGACTATTGACCCAACCAATAATTTCTACTTGGAATCCTTATTAGTTCTTGTACATTAAAACCTTACATTTAAGACAAAAAATAAACAGAAATTCATCTTACAAACATGAATGCTTCTCAAAACTTCCTTAAAATGCTATAATTATACAAAGATAATTATTTTAGGGCTTAAGAATTTTTTTGTGGTAGAAATTAAGTTCGACACATTGCAACATTGTTTGAATGGGGACCACCAATGATCTCCGGAACTTAATCTATATGCTTTAGGCAAATGATGTCATTATACCTTTGAAATCAAAACCACAGTAAACATAATGTTAGGTACACCATTTTCTGAAATAAACACCAGCCTGCTCCGCAGGAGAAAGATAAGGCTTTTCCACCACTGTGAAGATTTAAAGTCTCAGAAACCTGCAGGGGCAGGTCTACGTTGTCCTGTAGGTTCACTGTGAGTGGAAATGGACTTGGTGGGCGTGCATTTTCATAGTACAATAAATACAGAGGATTCTTAGCATATCCAAACAGCTCACAGGATTGGTTTGTTGGGTAAAAAGACTTGGGATCATTTTATAAAATAAAGAACTAGAGAATAAAATAAACGAGTAACGTGTTCCTTAAAAAAATGTTTTTTATATTTAACCAAACCGTCAACAAAGACAGAGGTGAGAGGGCAAGGAGTGGAAGGGTAACTAGATCAATGGAAACAGAACAAACAGATTGGAGCTAATGAGAGTGTTGCCATGTTGTAAGTGGTGGGATGGACGAATTCAAATAAAATTGGTTAAAGGGGAACCTAATTTGTAGTATAAACTTTCACCTAAAACACAATAGGTAATTATTTTGTAGAAATTACACACTCACACAAGCAAAAAAATAAAAGAAAGTTTACAAATTAGGATCTATACCTAGATTAAGTGATCAAGTAGATGATGGAAAGCAACCTAGAAGCTTTTTAAGGAAATTCTTTGCTTCTTCGATGGCTGCAATAGATGTGCAACAACAAACACTCGCGGTCAACTAAATGCAAACTCCTACCATCAGGCCAATT